TGTGCCAGAGCTTGTGACTGACCCAAGGTCACATCAGCAGGTGCAAGTGGAGGAGTGGGGAATCAAACCCGGTTCTCCCAGGTTAGAGTCTGCACACTTAACCACTACACCAAACTGGCTCTCAGTATTTAAAAATAATATTCAGTATTAACAGCGAGAGGGGAAAATATTCAGTATTAACAGGGAGAGGGGAAAAATTGAAGTCTGGTAGCACTTTAAAGCCGTCATGGTGCAGCATCAAACCATGATCTGGGAGATCCAGGCTCGAATCTCTATTCTGTCATAGAAGATTTGTTGGGTTTTGCAAGCAACATCCATTCGGCGTGTGCGTGGCAACAAAGACGGCCGGAGGGAAAAGCCACGCCGGCGCAATCACTCCAAGGAAGTCCAGAGGCAACCCGTGGCAAACCGTTTGCTACTACCTTCAAGGAGGTATTTTTTTATCGCGCATTATCGGTGGCATGCCATGGGTTGGCCACGGGTGTGCTCCACTTGCCAGATGTTGTAGTGTGGTCACACCCGGAAAATCCGCCATCCAATCGTGGCTCTCCCGTGGCAAATTCGCCATGTGAATGGGGCCTTAATATACCTTACAGCAGGGGTGTCGAACTCATTTGTTATGAGGGCCGGATCTGACATAAATGAGACCTTGTTGGGCTGGGCCATGTGTGTCATAAAATGTAATGCCAAACTTTACAAAGGACACAAACACAAAGATTATTATTTTTTGCTTAAAAACACGCTTAAAACATTAGCACTCTTGCAATATGTTGTTTATTTAACAGTATCTGATAACTGACATCTCTTGCTCTGAATTATTGCATCAAAATTTCTGTGCTGTTGCAATCTTGAGTACGCTGTTCAACTGTGTATCTGTAAGCTGCAAATCTACTTTATTGACATTCACCACAGAAATCACATGCTCAGAGTTCTGAGTCTAGGACCCAGGTTAAAACATGAAATGGCTGAGTGATTAAGAGAGTCTGGTGAAGCAAGCTATGATGCAGCAGAACTAGAAGCAGGAGATGGCCAGTTCCACTACGGGCCTGATAGAAGCCCTTCGGGAATCTGATCCGGTCCCCGGGCCGCATGTTTGACACCTCTGCCTTACAGGATTATGGCTGTGAGGATAAATGGCTGATGGGGAGAAGCGGGTACTTACTGTGGGGAAGAGGTGGTGATCCTTGTCACTGCACTATGATGTCACTTCTGACACGGTCCAGAAACACTGGTATCACTCCAGGGCCATGTTCTAGCACTCACTCCATAATTTCCATAGTTTTGGGGCAAGTGCTAGAGTGTCACCTGGTGCAACACCAGCACTTACAGATTGTGCATCGACAAAGATCGCAACCCCCCTACCCCATTTTACTAGCCAGCTTCCACCCGATGAAATGTGCATCAGCGGGCATTAGAAACAATTGTCAGGAGTTTGCCCACCATTAGTGGGCAATTTGTGTTCCCTTTGGTAAGCCTATTTGAGTCCCCTTTGGGGAGAAAAGTGGGGTATAAATATCTAAACATATGTGAGCGTAAGCTCTCAGAGACTGCAGCCCACCAACATACACTTCCATAAAACCTTATGCCCCAGTAAAACTTCAATATACTGAGGTGCCATAAGACTCCTGCTTATTTTTGCTGCAGTAGACCAATGCAGCTATCCCTCCGGAATTAAGAACAAGATTGTTTCTCCTCATTTACAGAAACGATCATGTTGAATCTGTTTCATGAGCGGATGGGTTATTTCTTACAATATTTAAAGCACAACAGATTCAACCTGTATGTACAGATGAGCACAGCTTTGGCTGGTAACTTACCTAAAAGTTTTGGTCGGGCTTCTAGTGCAGTAAAAACCAGCATAAGAAAAGCAGCAATGTGTAGCAGCTTCATCATTCACTTCCAAGGTGACAAATTCCCAGGAGGTTGGCAGTGTTTCCTGAATAACAACAGAGTATCTGGTGAGGTTCTGCAACATTTAATGAGGCAAAGACTTGTTGGGTGGGCTGGTCAGGCCTCCTGCTGCAGTGGCAGAGCAAGCCCCAGTGCCCACTGTCTCTCCAAGCAGCAGTGGGAGAATTAAACCCCCTTCCCCCACAATCAGCAATCTCACCAACATCACTAAGTCACATTCGAGTAAAACCAGGAGGTAACACATGGCAGATTTAGGGATCACTAGAAACTCTATGGTTTTACCATAGTCTACAGTGATTCCTAGAGCTACTCTTTGTCAGTTCTGGGTTTTACCCCAGGTCTCCTGCTAGTTGCCATGCTTGGTCTGGCAACCCTATGGTTATGTCAAGTATACAGATCACTCCGTTTGCCCTTTCTTGCACATACACAAGATGCATCTGATTCAAACAGATTAACAATTATTAACATCAGTAATATAGTCTTAGACAAACACCAAATGGTAAGACTTCTTTTTTAAAAAACACAGTGTTTATAAATCACTGATGGTGACTGGTTTGTTCACTTTTTATTTAAACAACTGGCAGTGCAGTAGCATACAGTGATGATAAATCTATGTGGGAGAGAAGCTATGAATCCCCTCAGACTGTGCAAAAACATGCATGCTTGAGATGCTGATGGTTACACTGTGCTGTACTGTTTGAATATGCAGAAAGTAACCCACTGAACTGGCTCAAGACACACATGAACTGCCAAAGCTGTTGATGAAATATTGGCACCCTGCTCACAACAACCTGGCAGAACATGAATGGAACTGGTGGGTGCTCAAGGATCCCTGTTTAACAAGGGGGAGCCTTTGAGGGCAGGGAGAGATGTCACTACTGGTTTGGACTTGGAAGTGATATCATGGTGTTCTAGGAATTCACTCATCTCTTTGGTTTTACCATAGGGGGTTCAGGTATAGTGTTTGTTTTTTGCTGGATCTTTTTTTGGGGGGAGGGGCATATGTGTGTGCCAACAAAAGTCCACATGGTCAAAGCGATGGTATTCCCAGTAGTAATGTATGGCTGTGAGAGTTGGTCAATAAGGAGAATAGATGTTTTCGAATTATGGTGCTGGAGAAGACTCTTGAGAGTCCCTTGGACTGCAAGGAGATCAGATCAGTCAATCATAAAAGAAATCAATCTTGACTGTTCCCTGGAAGGCCAGATACTGAAGCTCAAGCTCAAATACTTTGGCTACCAAATGATAAGGGAGCATTCACTGGAGAAGACCCTGATGCTGGGAAAGACTGAAGGTCAAAGAAGAAGGGGACAGCAAAGGATAAGATGGCTAGACAGTGTTATCAGTGCAGGAAACATGGAACTGAGCAAGCTCCAGAGGAAGGCGGAGGATATCCATGGGGTCACAAAGAGTCGGACTCAACTGTGCGACTCAACAACAACAACAACAACAACAAATGTGTGTACTTGCATGCCTGGAAGTCATGGAGACATTTGGCGACCCCTACTGGGGGTTGGACATTTCAGAGAGGTGGCTTGAGAACCTGCCTCTATATCCTGAGCCTGGTATTCCTTGGAGGTCTCCCTTCCAATTACTTGCCAGGGTTGGCCCTGCTCAGCTTCTGAGACTGGACTTGCCTGGGCTATCCAGGTCAGGGCCAGGTATAGTGTTCAGAAACACTAAAACATGTCACAACCTTTCAGCAACTTTACAAATTCCGGTACTTGGACATCCAAGTTACTGCACAAACTGCTTATAATGGACACGCACGCACACACACACTCCCACCCTTTTGTGGCTTAGCAGTATTACTGCCGCTTTAGTGCATTACAGCTCCCCATGACAGAGAACAGAAAGAGAGTGGTCTGGCTTTCACTGAGGGGAGCAGAGTTTAAATTGGCAGTTGGACAGACCTGATTTCAGCATATAAACCAGAAATAATTTATTGCAATAAAGCACCCTTGCTTCACCTAGCCCCTTGCGGGTAGAAGCTCTTTACAGAAAGTCCAACAAACAACCATGTATTCACAATATTATTTATTTTATGGAAGGAAGTTGATGCTGCAGTTAGTGTAGCGGAACTGCTAGGCAACTGAGCCGTGCTCTGAGAGGTCCCCTCTGCTTAACGCTCCCTTCTGCCAGGAAGTCACTAGGTGGTCTTAGGCACATCACACTCTGTCAGCCTCCCCATGTACAATAGAGGGGCAATAATAATCGTCTAGCTTTCCTGACTACTGCAACAAGGTTCCAGACTGTATCTAATCACACTTTAAGAATATATTTATTGTTTCAACATGACTAATTTTGTACAAAATACACTAGAGCGTATAAGCTGATCATTCACATTTCCAAGACTTAAGTGTTTTCGATATGGTTAACGTTTAATTTGATATCCAAATATTCCAGCAGTCCATACTGTGATGGTATGACAGCATTCTCTGTCCAAATAATGCACTTTCTTTTATTTACTATATTTTGTGCTTTCAGTTTTTTACTTTTTCTCCTGCTTTTCAGATGGGAAAAAAATAATATTCAAGTGTTAAGGAAGAGTTGGGTGCTGCAGTTTGCATATCTCCCTCTCTCGTATTGGATATTTTCACATTTTTGCTCATAGAAAATAAAGGCCTTTATATGTTAACATTTCAAAAACATGCCAAACAGTACAATTTTGTATGCTAAATTCTAAATTATGTCTCTTAAAATAGATACAAGTTTGTGACTGATAAGCTAGATATTGCACATATTTCATTTTTGCCCAAAACTTCCCACACTTCAAACTCTCAAACAAATTTGCATCTCTCATCACAATCCCTTCCACGCACACATCTGCTAATTCTCTAGTGCACAATTATTTATTCATTTAAATGCATTTATATTTTGTTAGTTACCAAAATGAAAGCCAGGTTTTCAATGGTCAGGCATTTTTGTATGCCCCACATGTAATCCCAGGATGGAAGGGCATGTTACAATGCTGCACATATGTGGCTTCTTATTAGGACCGGGGCCAACATGCAACCCAAAGAATAGAACGTAGTCAGCAGTGGACCCTTCCAGGAACAGTATAGCTAAGTAGGAAGGAAGGGATGGGACAGGCAATTGTGAGGACATATAAAAGCAAGGGCAGTTTAAGAACAGGCACTGTGCCCAGTTTGGCAGCGCATGAATACTATTAAATTTCAGGCTATGAAAAAGGAATAATAAACATAATACTGGATATGTAATACGAAGGGGATAAAAAAGAAATGACAAGGCTCCAGTTCTTTTGGGAAATCAACCACCCTGACTGTGAAACACGCCAGTCCTACCGCTCAGCCAAAAATCATATTCTCTCCCTGCCTGCATCCCTCTCTTTCCTTTGATCAAGTTCAAGATACATTTCTTAGTATCTTGGTCAGTTCAGGATGTTGATTTCAATGGTTCCATGACCGTAACAACCATTATAGGATCAGAAAGAGAAGCATTCAAAGACTGATAGAAGAGATCTGAAACTACATTTTTCTGCCCTGAAAATAAATGTCTTGGATTCAGTGCACTTTAATTCATACTGTTTCTGCCTCCCTTCATAGATTCTATTTATCTTCATCTTCCCAAAGACATAGAGGAAAGACGGACCTGGAAAGGTGTGAAATAGTGGGCAACAGGAGCCACATGTCAGGATAAAGGACCTGAAGGACTTGCGGATCTATGATGGAAGAAATAACTGTCACTGGGTTTCCATCACAAACCCTGGAAATGCATGATCATTTCATTTCAGACTGACTCACAAGTTGGTTCAAAGCAGGCAACACGCAGACAGTGAGACCTGATCAAACAGAGAAATTATCAAAATGACCAATATATAAACTTTATGCTGTTCCCCCCCCACACACATGATCTGATCAGCCAGGACCTCTCCCCCCCACACACACACATGATCTGATCAGCCAGGACCTTGAGTGCTTCTGACAAATCTATGGGCAATTAATTCTATTGCTGCTCATTATTATATGCTTTTGCTTATTATTTTTTGCATCCTGCATCCTCACTGATCCCTAAGTGTGGAAGACACACGGGGAGTCAATCTAATAAATTAATTGTGCAATCCTAAACAGGTGGCTGTGGTGGCTCAAGTGGTTAAGACGTTGAACTGCAAACCGGAAGGTTGGTAGTTAAGCTTTTCGAGACCCGAGTGTGCCGCAAAACGGAGTGAGCTCCCGTCTCTGGTTCCAGCTCCTGCCAACCTAGCAGTTTGAAAGCAAGAAATTGCAAGTAGATAAATAGGTGCCACTTTGATGGGAAGGTAACAGTGTTCCGTGCGCCTCAGTGTTTAGTCATGCCAGCCACATGACCACAGAAATGTCTTTGGACAGCACTGGCCCTTCAGCTTGGAAACGGGGCAGCACCGCTTCCCTAGAGTCGGATTCGACTGGCTTTTGAGCAAGGGAAACCGTTGCCTTTACCTAAACAGAATTATATCCTTTTAAATCCATTGACTTAGAATTGCATGGTAAGACTGCACATAATCTCACCTATTTCTTTCTCCTCTTAATGATTTGCTTGAACGAGAATGGGTGTTACCTTATCCTAATCCTACTTACTGTACTGCTTTTTTCTGGGCACAGTCCAGACAATGAATTTGCTTAAAATTCAAGAGGTTGCTTCTTATGGGTAAATTTGCTCAAGAAGACAGACATCACATGAAACTGCCTGAGTCAGACCTTTGGTCCATCAAAGTCAGTATTGTCTATTCAGACTGGCAGCAGCTCTCCAGGGTCTCAGGCAGAGGTCTTTCACATCACCTACTGCCAGATCTTTTAACAGAAGATGCCAGGGATTGAAGCTAGGACCTTCTGCATTCCAAGCAGACACTCTACCACTGAAACCCTTAACTTACAATGCTGCTTGGTGTGCAGAAGGTCCCAGGTTCAATCCCTGGCATCTCAGTTAAAAGGATCTTGCTATAGGAGATGGGAAAGGGCTCTACATTAAAACCCTGGAAAGCAAGTGTCAATCTGTGTAGACAATACTGAGTCTGATGGAACAATA